CGGTAGGCCTGGATCAAGAGATAACTGGTAATGAGTGTTTACGGAGTAGCCTACCGTGCCAGCCGTCTACACCATCATATCCCCCCGAGGGGACTTCCAATCAGATGTGCATGTACTCTTGAGATGCAATGCCGGCCTCATCCAGTCTGCTGTGCGTTGGGTCCGCTGGGCTTGAGAAGTTGTACAACCCGATTTACAGGCGACAAGGATGGCAAAGATCAACAATGCCGGGAGCAAAATCGTGCCTTGGAAATGCACGGCAAAGGTATAGCGCTATCCCTGGCACCTGATATGTTTTCAGTGTTCAATATGATTCGATGCTTCGTTCCCAAATCTCAATCGAGAGTCAACCGAAAGCATATGGTGGAGTCAGCTTTGAGTGCACAAAAGCTTATATCGCATACCGAATCCTGCTAACATTCAAATTAGGCCTACCCGCTCACGTTTTCGCTGAACTCTTGTGTTGTAATTGAGTATACGGGTTTTTATTTTCCACAATTTGGTGTGTTTCAGAAACACATATTATTCTGTTTTTGTTGTTTTTTGTGGTATTTTCATCAAAACGGTTTCTGATATCTGTTCATTGCATTTTTCATGAATTTACCTCTCCTTATAAGATTTTTGACATTAATGCCTTTATACGTTTAAAATAACCCGATACACACAGCACTTTTAACACGCAGAAAATAATTTTTGCAAGTGACTTTAATAAACCTATTTAAGTGCAATAGTATCATCAGCCTCAGCGTACAATGTGCGTGATTTATGTGCACAGAAAATCCTTTACATGACAGTAAATTTCAAACTCAATAAAGATGATCATTACTATTAGACGATCGTTTCCAAAAAAATGGACATTGATTCTTAACAGTTTATAATCCAATTTTGATAACTAACTTAACAGTTTATAATCCGACTTTGATAACTAATTTAACAGTTAATAATCCAACTTTGATAACTAACTGTCTTGGACTGATTCACCGTCGAAAACGAAATGCCAGAAATGCTCTCCCACGGACGCATGATTTTACACTCTCAATCTGCGTGAAACCGTTTATTTTTTAGTGGCATAAAAATAGATTGAAATTTCTGAAGGGGCAACCAGGTGCTTTATTTTTTGTTTTTTTTTAGAGGGCACTGAAAGCAAACAAACTGTGGCTTGTACATAGGTTGTGTACATCTCAAAATTTCAAATGAGGATGTGCCCCCACCTCCCTCAGTCTACACCACCGGGTAATTAGCCAAACATTTACCCAATTATCAACTGCCTGTATTCTTGGCAAATATTTTTCAAGATTTTCTATATTTTACAGGACATTCAACAGTATAGCACTTAAAATAGCACTTTGCATTAAACGTGAAATTACCAGCAACAAGTTTTAACCAACTATTTTACAGTGCAGTCAAATCAGACGGCCTCCTGCGTAACACGTACACTCTGCCAAGCTGCAAAATTAACTCAACGTGACAGAGACCAACATGGTCAAGCAGTGAAAATTTCAAATGAAAAACAAATAGACGCACGTCACCATTCACCCACTCACTGCCTATGAGGAAGTGTATCTTCTCGTGACTACATTTGCGCCCCCCCCCCCATTGCGTTCCAACTCAAATTAAACACACCCACAAATTGCTTTACCACTTTGCTCGCAAAGCCAACTACGCACGCGCCTTAATTGCATACTGGGAAAGCTACAGCCCAAAAAATCATTGGTCAGTCGTAAATATTGGATATTACTACTCTATTCAATTGATTCCTGGTTGGTTTTGTGCTTGCGAGCTACATGTCTTATAACGAGTTCGTGCATTATAATTATTTCTTTCGTACCATTTCTACATCAAGTATCACCTGGGGCGTAGCGAAGGCATTTTCTGGGGGGGTGCCAATTTGCCGACTTCTGGAAGGAAGTGGTATTCGCTACATTTTATGCTTTAGGGGAAATGCCAACGGTCAAGGTATATCGTTTATGCCAACCGAAGCTCTATTTGCTGACGGTTGCTACGCCCCTGAGTATCACGCCTGGAAATGCGAATAAAAACCAAAAGTAAACAAAGTACAATTCAAGCCAAGTTATTAACGATCTTTGTGCCATTATAAACAATAGATGTATTGGAACTAACGTCAGGTTCTCGTTTCTGTTTGAACGATGCAGCTCTACAAACAAAAATGTTTACCTCAGCCTCACGCCAAAACTCGAATATGTACAGTGGTGTTTATCAGCATTCTTGTTTAAATACATACATACGCCTTCATGATACTCAGTATACGAGCATGCACAATGGAATAAGAAAATAGATTTTCTGAATACACGCTATTTGAATGCTATAAACTGCCACGAGAATATAAGTGTGATACCTTCAGCCGTTACAAGAGCATGAATATATACGACTGGACCTACACTTCATGTAATATTTTGATAATATCTCACGCTCACGAAAACGTTTAACTTGACTAAGCTTTAACAATTTACAATCTTTAAGGTCATAGTTTCATAATGTTGATTCGATCCACGGTTATGGAGCAGAAAATATAAATAATTTTACGTGATGTGCTACCCATGAGCAAAGTACACAAGCAGTAAATTACACAAATCACAATTTTTCAATGATTTTATATTTCTATACATCCGGTAATGAGTGTAAGTCGAGAACAACTAAACAGCAAGAACAAGAACCAACTATACCGAAGGTTTCGTAACACAACATCCTACTCTATGGTAACACCGCACTGTGTGTACCTGTTGGATTCAATTTCACAAATCTTTGTATCGTGGGAAGCAATTTCTAAAGCATACAAAACTACGTACACAAACAATGATAAAACACCAGATGTCTTGATGTAGTTCGCTTAAACAATGTTCGCAATGTGCACTGGTTTTTAAGGAAAGTTTTAAACCAATAACCTCCTTACACCGACATAATCATCACATGGATCAGCATCCTGAAGACAAAAATTAAAGAAGTCAATACATGAGCATACCACAGCTAGCATGATAAGGCATACATAGTAATCGTCAGAAAATATTTTACTAGACTTTTTTATAAGCTAGCTTTTTTTCTATTCAAAGGACCCAATGCATCCTCTATTTTTGCCAAAAATGGATTTTCTAAGTCATTAAGAAATGTATGGAGTTTACATTGACATAAATCCCTGGAACGGGGGAATAATTCCCCATTTTTGACAGGAGGATGGACCATGCAATTATGCCCCCGATATGTTTATGCCAAGCAAAACGAATTATAATCATCACCCCCCTGCAATCAGTTAACAGACATGTGTAGTGAAAAGATAACTCGAGATTATGTACTCCTTTCAAAGGACAAACACAGACGGATGCCAAAAAATAAGTTAGCTTGTAAATACTATATGCTTTTCATAATCTATTTCAGATAGCATAAGATTGATGATTTACCCACACTGGGAAATAATTTGTACAATGCATAACTGAATATTGTATTGGTATTAATGTGCGTGTCATTTCTGCTGTTTGTAAATTGAGTAAAAAGGGGTTATTTCACTTCTTGACTTCGAATACTATTGTGGAAAAATACATATAAATAGACGATACCAATTTTAACTTCACTGCCGAAATCTCAGTAATCCCTATCGTGCATAGCTAAAGCTTCTTGGTATTCTTGGTCTTCTTGTCGAAGTCAAGAACAAAAATGCCGCTACAAAGATTTTATGAACACTGCACGCACATCATATGAGATTTTAATCTCATCGAGCGTCGCGCTTTTGAAGCACTAGATCACGTGATCCACCCCTAGGGGTATTTATATCCATTAATTTTGGCACACCCGGAAGTTCCCTATTCATTGTGCTCCGCCAGTCACGACTTTTGCTTGTTTTAACCTGCAAATGATGGTGGGCAAATTTACCAGAAATTCGTTTGGGAAAAAACATCAAGCTCGTTGCTCAAAACCCTCGGATCAGTTCGTGAGTTTCATAACCACACAATCGATAAGCACCACAATTCATCACCATTTATTGTGCCTTGATGTGAATGATTTCATCGAAAGGTCTCTTTCTGTGGATATTCCTTCGTCAGCGCCTGGTTATAGACGAAGGTCATAAATCTTGCACATCTAATAACCCGTATGCGGCAGGTGCTTCCCAAGGATTCTTGATACAGGCGTAAATGGATCCAGGGACAAATGGAACAGTTATAGTTTAAGAAAAGGTCTTTAAGGACTATTTCACTTCTGTTCTTATCCAGACCATGTAATTACAAAAGCCCCACACTTTTATCGTTATCCCTCCCTCGAAAGCCGTTAAAGGTCACATAAAGAAATGTCCAAATTTTTTCGCACCCAAAACAAGTTTGGCCCTCAAAAATTGGCTGGATTCGCCCTAGGATACAGAACCGTAAAAGATTATAAAGATTTCTTTCAGCCATATTTGCTAGACTTCTTTCTACGCGCGATCGACTAAAGTAAGTTCGAATTACATGGTGTCAGTTGGAAATGTGTGTTGTTCAAGAAATAAGTTACATTTCGAGAACATGAAAACAAGTTGTATGGCATGGCTTTTTAATAGATGTCGCTGCAGGGATCCTGTCGTTTTTCACATTTCACAAAAGCACGTTATTTTGTGAGCAATTTAGCTGTTTTTTTTAGTCTAGGCGCACTGGGGCTACCTCGGCAGAGAATACACAGCGAGCTAGCATCTCTTCACGAAACACTGTTTTTTCCCGCCTGAGCGAAGGTACGAAGTTGGGTAGGCACATGTATTAGATTTTAGCGGTCGGCGTATGGCAGGTCTTTTAACATGTTATACGTGACCTTCAAAGACGCAATGTGAGCACCTAAACGAAGTGGAGCGATGTTGGTAAATGCAAATAAACTGTAGACTGACCATTTTTAGTTTTGTTGCTTTAAGGCCATAGGTCACACATTACTGTTTCTCGTCATTTACGCCAACATGCAATCTGTAAACTGGGGTCTGGATAAAAGGAAGCTTTAAAAATAATTATGGCAAAATCTAGCACAGAAATCAATCAACTTTGTGGGGGACGGAGGGCCTAAAGAGAAAAGTGAATGAAAACGATGAAGAAAATAGATTCATGTGGTTGCCAATCATGGCAGTTTCATTTTAGTGAAGTGAATCCAATGCCGGCGGTGTAAACAACCATCCTTTTGTTTAAATGTGCAGAAATATTATGCACAAAAATATAAGCTCGGGTATAAATGCTGTTGTTTCAAATCTGGAATCACCCAATTGTCACGTTGCTGTACAATAATGACACGAAATCGTCACAAAAAAACACTGCGTAATACATGAAAGACCTCAAACAGGAGAGTGAATTAGCATAATAAGTCTCACATGGGTGGAATTCATTCAACAGTTGTGAGATTGTACAGAAAGGGTTTTAAGGTTACCTTTTGCTTTAACGCAAATTCTATCACAACTATCTGAATATTCCTTGCCTAGTCATTGCATATGTGCACTCAAACACTTGTATTTCTTCCTGAGTGTACCTCAGCCAACTATTAACTGTCTTGATACTTTGGCATTCATGGTTCCTGCTTCTTCGTCTTCTATTGCAGCTTTACGTTGAGACTCGGAAAGGGATTTGACTGACAAAAATGATCAGACATTGCACTGGAAAACGTCACTTTATATTCACTAGCTTCCTTCTTTGTAATTACTTAAGTATGGCCAACCGAAGTTCGTATGGCACAGGGATTTTTGTACCTTGTAATCAATCTCCGTGTGAATTCTCGCAGCTTGGCAGGCACGTACTGTCCTCTGTAAGGATTTACATTGGCTCTCCTGAGTTACTAAAAAAAACTTTGATTTTGTCACTCACTATGTTAGAGTCTTCTCTTACAATCTGATTTTAAGTTCTTCAGGATCCTCTTGTATGCCTGCCTAAAATTCCGGTTGGACCACGCATATAGATACGGATTGATGGCCGAGTTGGCCCAGATGAACAGCGAGGCTACCTTGCGGTAATAGACAGACTTAAGAAAAGGCTACATACGTGCTGGATTAGCTGCGGCGTCCAACAGACGGCAAAGACGATGAAGATCAGGATGGGGACTTTGGTGAAGTTGATCTCTCGCTTGCTGATGGCGTGGGGATGCGGGGCAGTATCGTTCTGGTTGTTCAAGGAATTGGACACCGTGGAGATGACGCTGCAATCGCCGTTCTGCCCCGTTGGGGCCGCTGACGGATGCTCGCTGGTTGTGTTTCGGGCGTGCACCCGCCGGTGACTGGCCTTCACAGCACACACGGTCAACCCGTAAAGTAACGGCACGACAACAAAAGCTGGAATGACGACGTAGAAAGACAACATGATTGTCCGGAACATCCAGTTGCTTTCGGCGTGGCAGCCCTGCCCTTCGCGGTCGTATACTACAGGGCTCGCGCCTGTAATAGCCGGTAGGACGACGACCACAAAATTGATGAACCAGATCAAAGCGATGTGTACAACCACCTGTTTGCTACCACAGCAGGTCCTGAAGCAGGTCCGTGGCCGCGTGATCAGTAAATACCTGTTAACAGCGATGAACATGAGTGTGGTGAGCGACACGCTATAGGTCGTGGTCGGTAGGTACATCATGAATTTGCACAGGGCCCAGTTCTCGGGGAAACCCTTATTCAGCTGCGTCGGAGTCATCAGGAAGAGCAGCTGGATGGCGGTGATCAGGTCGGTCGCGCAGAGGTTACCGATGAGCGCCGTGCAGGTGTTACGGAGCTTCGGGGTGGTGGCCAGGGCGACCAAGGCTATGCAGTTGCCAAAGACTCCGAAGAATCCCACCACAATGTAAAAGACGCACATGAAGGCGATCCAGACAGGATGCATCTCCACAAACACGTCTCCTTCCTCACCCTCCTCCGTTGAGTTGGATGTTGTACCGTTGTCATCCGTAACATATGCTGCTTCCATGTTTACACTGTCGGAGTTAGACGTTACACTCTGTTGAAACGTCCATGGTTGACATTAAAGTTTGCAGAATCCTGCGGTAAGGATTTTACCTCCGTCTTTTGGGGAGTAAAACCACACGCTCCGAGCAGANTTTTTTTCGTCTTTTTCCCAATAAAGAAGTGCTGTTGATACTTGGCAAATTACCTGGTTACATGCTAAATATTATTTTTGTGCAGAAACGTCAAAGGATACTGACATCAGTCTCCTCAAAAGTCGAACGTTACACTTGGGGTTTGCAAATCCCTCTCTCCGAGCAAATGTTGCTCGGTGTGCACCTAAAGTCGACGCTACATGGGAGGCAGAACTGCACGACAAAGCCCCGGTCCACCGCAGTTTCACGACACTGCACACGCAAGACCTATTTGGGTGAAGAGCTCCCCCTGCCAGTGAGGAAGTCCCCTAAATTCCAGGCTGACGCGTGGTTTCAGAAACTTACCATCAGCGCGTGGCTGCTGGTTTCGTACTCACTGAAAATCGCTTGTTGTTGAGCTCCGCTCGTGCGTGCTTCATGTTCTTGGCAGTGCAGTCAATGATTCAATTGTCCGTAAGTAGCACCGCCCATCATCACGGCCGTGACATTGCCGACCAATCAAACTCAACCGGGGGAGAGGAATCTACGAGCACCGAGGACGTCGATCATCTGATGCGTGAAAGGTTCATGGCCATTGACATTTTTAAACTATACCATTGCTTGGTGATGACACTCGGTGTTCCGATGTTTTTCTGGGTGTCCTGTTGTCCTAGCGATTGCTGCTATTGTTTATGACGTCATGGGAGAAGTGTGTTTAAACATCTCCAACTGATGACCAATTCAACTGTACGATATAGGGCCTATATATTAAGGCCTCCTAGATAGTAGTAGCAAATTTCCGTTAGCTCGATCGGTGCCGTGGCCATCGTAAAAACTGCATTTAAGTAACCCTTGAACTCAGTAAACAAAACATGACAAGATTTGGAATAAGAATACATGTACAAGTTTGGGACGGGGTACATTGAACTCTCGTGTTGGTTTCATTTCTTCCTTTCACTGTGTTTAAATTGGTGCTGATGGAAGCTTCGAACTCTCGCTGGATCTTTTGTGTACATGTGCACCCAAATTTCGGTGCATGCATCATGGCAGACACATGAATCACTGTCTACCAGCCCTTTTGTTTCTTTTGCGAAGTCTTCTGATACAATTTCGAAATTTAGTTATGCCTATTGTGCACAGCTAAAGCTTCTTGGTATTCTAGGTCTTCTTGTCGAAGTCAAGAACAAAAATGCCGCATATAATGATTTTATGAACACTGCAAGTGCATCATGTGAGATTTTCAATCCATCAAGCGTCGCGCTTTTGAAGCACTAGATCACGTGATCCACCCGTAGGCGTATTTATATTTATTAATTTTGGCACACCAGGAAATTCCATCTTCATTGTGCTCCGCCAGTCACGACTTTTGCTTGTTTTTAACCTGCAAATGATGGTAGGCAAATTCACCAGAAATTCGTTTGGGAAAAAACATCAAGCTCGTTGCTCAAAACCCTCGGATCAGTTCGTGAGTTTCATAACCACACAATCGATAAGCACCACAATTCATCACCATTATTTGTGCCTTGATGTGAATGATTTCATCGAAAGGTCTCTTCCTGTGTATATTCCTTCGTCAGCACCTGGTTATAGGCGAAGGTCATAAATCTTGCACATCTAATAACCCGTTTGTGGCAGGTGCTTCCCAAGGATTCTCAATGAGAGATGATATAGTCTACAACATATGTGATAACCATTTAATACGAAGGATTGCCACAGACCACGATCATCTCTCTGAGCTTGAAAACGATTACTTATAGGGTATTGATGAAGGCGTAAATGGATCAAGGGGACAAATGGAACGGTTTTGGTTTAAGAAAAGGTCTTTAAGGACTATTTCACTTCTGTTCCTTCCCAGACCATGTAATTACAAAAGCCCCACACATTTATCATTATCCCTCCCTCGAAAGCCGTTAAAGGTCACATACAGAAATGTCCAAATTTTTTCGCACCCAAAACAAGTTTGGCCCTCAAAAATTTGGCTGGATTCGCCCTAGGATATAGAACCGTAAAAGATTATAAAGATTTCTTTCAGCCATATTTGCTAGACTTCATTCTAGGCGCGATCGACTAAAGTAAGTTCGAATTACATGGTGTCAGCTGGAAATGTGTGTTGTTCAAAAAATAAGTTACATTTGTAGAACATGAAAACAAGTTGTATAGCATGGCTTTTTAATAGATGTCGCTGCAGGGATCCTGTCGTTTTTCACATTTCACAAAAGCACGTTATTTTGTTAGCAATTTAGCTGTTTTTTTGTTTTTTTTTTGGCTCGGCGCACTGGGGCTACCTCGGCAGAGAATACACAGCGAGCTAGCATCTTTTCACGATACATTGTTTTTCCCGCCTGAGCGAAGGTACGAAGTTGGGTAGGCACATGTATTAGATTTTAGCGGTCGGCGTATGGCAGGTCTTTTAACATGTTATACGTGACCTTCAAAGACGCAATGTAAGCACCTAAACGAGGTGGAGCGATGTGGGTGAATGCAAATCACACATTATTGTTTCTCGTCATTTACGCTAACATGCAATCTGTAAACTGGGGTCTGGATCAATGGAAGCTTTAAAAATAATTAGGACAAAATCTAGCACAGAAATCAATCAACTTTGTGGGGGACGGAGGGTCTAAAGAGGAAAGTGAATGAAGACGATGAAGAAAATAGATTCATGTGGTTGCGAATCATGGCAGTTTCATTTTAGTGAAGTGAATCCAATGCCGGCGGTGTAAACAACCATCCTTTTGTTTAAATGTGCAGAAATATTATGCACAAAAATATAAGCTCGGGTATAAATGCTGTTGTTTCAAAACTGGAATCCCCCAATTGTCACGTTGCTGTACAAGAAAGACACGAAATCGTCACAAAAAACACTGCGTAATACATGAAAGACTTAAAACACGAGAGTGAATTAGCATAATAAGTCTCAATATACATACATACAAACATGTTCCACAAAATAACACAAGTGCAAAGTGTGCGGTTTCTTCCGACGGTGAAATACGTCTGCCCAAAAGTAGTTCTACTTATTTAGAAAATTAATCTCACACGGGGCCTTTGCTTTTATTCTAAAGACGTGTGTTCTGCTTATGTGGAGAGAGCCTGATCGCTTGACATTTGATGTCAACCAACAATATCGTCCGTCTTACATGGGTGGAATTCATTCCACAGTTGTGAGATGGTACAGAAAGGGTTTTAAGGTTACCTTTTGCTTTAACGCAAATTCTTTCACAACTATCTGAATATTCCTTGCCTAGTCATTGCATCTGTGCACTCAAACACTTGTATTTCTTCCTGAGTGTACCTCAGCCAATTATTAACTGTCTTGATACTTTGGCCTTCATGGTTCCTGTTT